CCGAGCTTTACCGACAAAGGAACCCCGAATACCGGGGCAGGCGCACAGCCAGGGGGTTCGCCCCCACGCCCCCAAGAAAGAAAGAAAGAGACAGACAGACATACACGCAGAAGAAAAGAAGAGATGCATGCGTACATATGTATACAATTGTACACATGCGTATTGGCCCCCCCCCCCCCACCCCCGTGATCCACAAGATGTTTACTTATCTCACATGTTGAGCCTTCCTTGGCTCTCTCAGGCATTCTCTTTGTTCCTTTCTTTCCTCCAACGTTAATAGAATTCAAACGGCAACTCCAAGAACCCAATGCTAAAGTGGACCAGAAGGCTTAGTTTTGTTGCTTCTTTCAATTTCGAGTTTTGTGCTGTGCTTGGGAAGGCATGTTGTGTTTGGGTTTCCGCTATCCGGAACCACCATCGTCCAACAAAACCCACGATTGCACTCGGAATTTGTGTGCAACGCAGAATCCTGTGCCCATGTTTGTCTCTGGAAGCTGCCAATCAGCATTTAACGCTGCATTTCGGTTTTCTTGACCTTCTTTTCCTCCGTGACCCTTGCCGTAGGTTCAGGAGTGAGACGCGGTGTTTTGGTGACGCCCGCAGGAGAGAAACATGCTTGTGCCTTTTGCCAAGTACATGGGGAAGGCCGTCTTCGTGTCTCATCAATGGGTTCCTTGGCGACCCTAAACCCTAAACCCTAAACCCTAAACCCAATGAACCCCAAGATTGGGGTCAAGCAGATGCTGGCCTCAGACCTCCACCCCTACTCGCCTCTCATCTCCCGCCAAAGCATTCTCAACCTGCCTACTAAATCCACAAAACAATAGCTGGAAAATGATATAAGTTATAGATTTTATATACTTATACCACATAACTTAGACCATCTGACCTTGCTGTGTTGTGTTCTTCGCTGGATACATGCTTATACCAGTCATAATCTATTTCTTTCGTCTTTCGTGTCAAGCAAAAGAAATATGCAAGACCGTAATACATGTCCCGTTCATCAGGTCGCTCCAGTTTTTTTCACTGTTCAGACTTTTCTCTGTAAGACGTATTGGTGGTTTTCGTGTAGTGTTTTCTTACACTTCTTCATATCATAATCACACAACTCGGAATGATACATGATTTGCTTGTATTCTCGTATCTTTTCCTGTCCATCTTCACCTTACGTATATTGCTTTCTCTGCTCCTTTATTTCTCGTCCTCTCAAGAGGAGCATTTGCGAGTTTGTGTTGTGGATTTAAGCGGGTTGAGAATGATTTGGCGGGAGATGGAAGGCGAGTAGGGGTGGAGGTCTGAGGACAGCATCTGTTTGCTCCTTTTGCCCTATACTACGATAACCCCCTACAAAGGTATGTGAACCATAAAACCCCTTAAACCCTGAACCCTTTTTGGGGTTCATGTGCTGCTACCCGCCTCTGCAAGGTTCCCCCCCCCATAATTCAGGCTGTTTTGGGGATAATTCAGCCAAAGTAAGGTTACTTCAAGGGAGGTACGCAGGGGGCGGAGGGGGGGGGGGGGGGTTGTTTTGAGGGGGGTAGTAGGGGGGTAGGGGGGGGTAGTAGGGGGGTAGTAGGGGGGTAGTCGGGAAGCCCGAAACCCGAAACCCTAAACCCTGTTTTGGTGACCCAAGGTTGGAGAAGACCACCCTGACCCTGAGTTTCGGCAAATGTCTGTGCTTCAGGATGCCGTGAGGCCTGCCATTGGGGTTGTATGTGTTGTTCGCGTTTAGGGTTTAGGGTTTAGGGTTTAGGGTTTAGGGTTTAATTTTTAGGGTTTAGGGTTTATAGGGTTTAGGGTTGGTATTCTGATTCCGTTACCTTCTTGTCTGAGTTTTGGGTCTCGTGTTTTAGAGAGCTCGACAGGCATATGATGGCCCAGAAGATGCATATCTACCACGACATTCACAACGAGATGCTTGTGTGCGATGCTTCGATGCACACCTCCGAGCTCACTTTCGCACCGCTGTTCCTTTGTCATTGTGGGGTAACATTTTGCCTCTTTAAGGGTACTTAAACTCAGGAAGGAATAATTTGATGTTTTAATACTATCCAGGTTCTTCTGGTACGACTACTTCTCCTGCCCGCAGCTGAAAGAGACCGAATGCAGACATGCCATCAACTCAATCCCAGGCTACATCACCAGGTGGGGGGTGCCCAAATAAATAGACCCCATGGCTCCCCTCTGACATAAGGACCCCCAGCAAAAAGGTGCCCCCTAACTTCGGACACCTCCAGGTGCTCTTTCTTCTTCATCCTCACCCCGGTGATCAAGTCCCCGAGCCTGCGCAAGGTGTTCACGTGGGGGACCTGGGCAGAAAGAGGATGCTCGGGCACCCAAGTTGGGAATCGCTGTTGCTTCGATATCTGGGCCCTCATACTGCAACCCGATGTTGTAAGAAAGGGTAAACTCAAAACTAAGAAAAAATGAAGAAGACAACGGTGTCTTCTCAACTTTTTTGTTTGCGCGGCCGCGCGAATCCCCACCGAAGGATGGTGCTGCATGGAGAGGCTTTTCAGGCAGCTTTCGGAAGATGGGTCGTGGATCGTGATCCTGGGTATTGCTTTGGGATAGCTGTGAGTTTCCCTTCTTTCCCTTTTTCAGGGAACCTATTCATACATGATTTGCAAAGGGCTTGCAAGCAACACCCAGGATCAAAAGCCAGACGCAGTTCGAGCTCGCCAGCTCGTTGGGTTTTTTCGGTGTCCCCCCGGGGGAGGGCAAATTTAAACTGGCCGCGGACCGACTACAGCTGGGCCCAGTTCTGCAGACAGCCCTGCGCAGGAAGCTGCTCATGCTGCTGAAAGCACAAGACATTCTCGGATATCGGGTGCTACTGAACCTTCAGCCCGTGCTGCTGCGAGGGTTCGTAGAGCAGCCACAGTACGACATAGTCCCGGCAGAGCCTCATTTGAATAGCTCGGATGCACCCCACGTTGCGGCCTTCTTGTTTCAGAATGGCTTTCAGACGATTCACGACAGGGACTCCTGCGGATGGACGCCGCTGCACTATGCTGCTCTTCGCGGTGAGCCTGCATTGATCCAAGAGCTCCTGAAGCAGCAAGCTGATCTGCACTGCACAGCCACTCGGTGAGCCCTTGGGATATGTGTATATTTTCCCTTCTTGGGTTGAAGAGGATCAGAGTTAGGAATATAATTTCAGAGGGTTTTCAGGGCCATCCTCAGGCCAAGAAGGCCAACCCGAAGCATGGGGCCATGGCAGGCGTCGTGCCTCTGGACTTGTGCCTGCGCCACCGGAACAACGACGCCGTCCGCATACTGCTGGGGGCCAAGGCTCGGGCAGATGGAGGATGGGGCCTCACCTCAGCTTGTGTGGGAGATAATTCGGAGGGTGTGCGGCTCCTGTGCCTGGCTGGCTGCAGCCCCTTGGCCACGGACCCACTCGGGACTCCCACTGTGACTGCATTCTCCTTTGGGAATTCTTTTTGGTTTTTGGTTTATATAAACCCCAAGAGGGTATTTTACATATGATTTTTATTCAGGTTCTAAGGGGAGTACAGGTGAGCCTGGCTTGCATGTTTGGGGCTGTGGGTGCCTTGGATGAGCTTGTTGCGCAAGCTGGGCGTGAAGCCTTTGGCTGCGCCACCCTTTCTCACGCCCTCTATTCCTCGGTAACTTGGTAGCCCAGTGGTACCCTTTACCCTTTTTTTTGTTTACGGTTTCCCTGAAAAAAAACAACCAACCCAAGAAAGGGTGCCCTTATCATAAGATGGTTCCTGGGCTACCCAGGTCATGTTCCGAGGCCAGGCAGAGGTAGTCCAGCGACTCATTGATCTGAGAGCCGATGTAGACCATCGAAACGGCTACCCGCTGCTCAGCCCCTTTGGGATGATGGTTACGATGCATGCTCTTCGCTATAGGTTGGGTCATGTCACGCCTCTTACACACCTGTGCTTTCACATTCCGGACAGCACGCCCCTCATGGCCGCTATCATGTCCGGCCACTACGATGGCGCAGCAATCTTGATAGCCGCCGGCGCTAGGATCGACATCCGAAACTCGCGTGGCTTGTGCGCGGCAGACTTTGCTTTGGAGCAGAAGACGCCAGAGTTCTTGCTACAGGCCTTCTGGGGTCAGAAAGAGGAATGCGCGACCGTGGCATCATTGGCACTGTTTGATGGTTTCATGGGCGAGACTGTTTGAATCAAGTCATGGCCTCACATCCTTCAAGCGTGCGCTTTTTCGTGCATACAGTACCGCGCACTGTGACGATGTGGTTCGCGCTTTATGTCCAGCAAGCTTTCGGCGAGCAATTTTGGTGATGCTGAGACCTTTTAAAAGTCGTTTGTTTCACCTGCGACGATGTTCGGGCAGAGGAGTGTTTCAAGTCGTTTCACCATGTTCCACAATACCGGTACCTGAAGTATCGGAATTCCAAATGCGTTAATTTTTTGGTCATTTCAAGGTTAATGGGAGTCGCCAAACTGATTTTTGTTTTGCGCAGAAAGAAGTTGCGGCTGTTGGGCATCCCATATAATGATGTTGAAGCTTTCAAACATGTTTTTGTTCCCTCTCGCTCTCTCTCTCTCTCTCTATCTCCCTCTCTCTCTCTCTCTCTCCGTTTCCCCTTCCTCTATATGGCTTGGTACTCAGAGGTCTTGCATGATGTGTGACGCTTGCATTGCTTGGTCACCTGATCGGTGTAGCCCTGAATGACTGAGGCCAGAAGTTCAGACGTTATGGAGCTGAAGCCGCGAAATACATTTTCTTTCGGGTTTAGGGTTTAGGGTTTAGGGTTTAGGGTTTAGGGTGTTGGTGAAGCTTGTAAACCCCTGCAACTCCGAAAACGATAGCTCAGAGCCACTGAGGTCTCCCAACGCCCCTAAACCTTGACGGCCCTACATAACCCTGTCACTGTGAACTGAACCCACGAAACCCTAACGAAACCCTATATGCCCTGAACGCTAAACCCTAAACCCTAAACCCGAAACCCTAAACCCTAAACCCTAAACCCTATAAACCCTAATCTCAACCTGGAGGTGTCACGGCAGCGGCAGCAGAAGCGTCAGGTCAGCTCACTGCCTGGAGTGTCTGTAGGCGAGGCCAAGGAGCCGAGAGAGACATGGGTTTAGGGTTTAGGGTTTAGGGTGTGTGTGTGTAGTCATCCTTGTACAGATAGATTTCGGGTTTCGTTTTTTTTTCGGGGATTTGAGGCTTTTTCCACGTTTCTTGGGGAACCCACGCCTAGAATATTTGCGGGGGATCATGTTTAAGACAGCATTTGCGCGCCCGTTTGAGGCGACCTCTTGGCGTTTGGGTTTCTTGGCCCTCGCGTCTTCTTAGGGTGGCTTCTTGGGGCCTCTGGGCTCTTGGCGTGCCTTGGTCCTCTAAATAGCAGCCTCCGGAGCCTTCCAAAGCCTCTTGCGGGCCTCTTGGCGTGGTTCCCAGGCCTTCAAAAGCCTCTTGCGGGCGTCTTCTGATGTGCTTTTGGCACTTCCAAGGGCTGTTGAGGGAGTGGAGGAACAACGTGGAGCCATGTTTGGGTACTTATTTTGGCTCCTGCGGAAGTATTCTATCTGTCGTTTTGAGAACCTGCCTGAGTCAAACATGGGGTTCCTTCCAGCCTACCCTAGCGGGCGGCGCTAGACGGGTGGCAAGAATAGTAGCGGGCGGCGACTTAAACAGTTCAACGTGCGCAGCATCAGCCCCCGGCATCTTTCTGTGAAATAGGGCCGGCTTGTCACAAAGCTGTTCTCTTTGGGGCAACCCCTCCGCGAAAAGCCAATCTTCTGCAAGGAGATCTGCATGACTCTAACAACAGGGCCAGGCATACATCTACAACAGAGATGTGAGACCATTTTTTGAAGGCCCATGTCCCTAAACCCTAAATCCCTTTTTTTGACTTGGGGCTATCTAGAGTCGGCTCAAGGATAGAGTCTTGCAGGGTCTGAGAAGAGAAAACGGCCGGGCTCCGGCTCGTCTTAGAATGCGTGTAGTGGGAATGTACTCTTTTTTTACGATGTAGGCCCCCTTAAAAGAGAGAGAGAGAGAGAGGCCCCCTTAAACCCTGAAGCCTAAACCCATCCAGCAGCAGTCCCACGAACAGGCCCCAAGTTTTCATAGCCGCAACCCGTGGGGCGATAGTTAGCCCTCCATGGGAAGGCCGAACCCATGGGTTCTTAAGGCTACAGGAAGGCCTAAGGTATGTTGAGGATCGCATTCCGCGTCTGGGGGCAGCGAGTTTTGATGTACATATGTATATATATATATATATGCCAGCCGCTGACACCTAAACCCTAAACCCTAAGTAGCTCCAGAGGCCTTCCCTGCACCATAAGCAGGGCGTCTGTCCAGGATGCCTACACGGAGAAGGAGTTGCACGTTTGGGATGTCGCGTTCTCTGCGGACTCCCAGCAGTTTGCGGTAGCCACTACCCACGGCGTGTTCGTCTACTGTCAGGAGTGTCTGCAGGCAAAAGTCACTGTAGAATGGGTTGGGACAGAAGGGTTTCTCGACCGTGCAATGTGTTACCCTCAGAAAAGGATCAGGAAGTACAATGAATCAAGGAAGTACAATGAAGTACATGATTTTGATGCTGAATATCACAGCATCCCACGACTGTAGACCCATGGCACGAGTCCATACCCTCGGCTCCCCATTGCGAGCGTGAGAGTCTAGCCTCCGCGGGTGGACTTACCTTGGGGCTTTTACCCACACATTGGCATGTTCCCCTTTATGCTAACAGTCCTTAGTAGGGAGTATAGTAGTACCCGCCTCTTATTATCCCTATTCAGGACTGTTAGGACTCTTTGAAGTCCGGTGCAGACCTGCTAGGCGTGCAGAATGTGCCGAGCTGCTCTCCCCTCATCAGGACGGTGGAATGGGCATGGCAGGGATTTCTGGTATCTACGGGTCAGAGACCAGCCGCTTTGTACCGCAGATGCTGACCAAAGCTGTGTCGGCACCAGCGGTGCTGAAGGCAACTGAGCGGCACCCATGCCACGCCCCACTGTAGCCCTGTAACCATGCCCCCGATGCCTTATAATTCTTCTGGAATGCATCTTAAGTGAGGCGCTCGATGAGGGAGACATCTCTCGTGCTATGATCCTGGCCCTGGCTCTCAATGACTATGGCTTGCTACGGAAGGTCTACGAGAAGGCGCGAGAAACGCTTCGCGGTCGGCACCATGGTTACCGTAGCCGCTAGTAGAGGAGAGCATTCTGCCTGACCATGGCAGGCATCAGCACCATCTTTTCTGAAATGGTCGCACCACTAGGGCTGGCTTTGACCCAGACGGATATCCCTAAACACTAGACTCTAAACCCTGAACCCTATAACCCTATAACCCTATAACCCTATGAACCCTAAACCCTAAACCCTAAATATCCACCTTTGTAGGTGCCAGTGCAGTCCATCCAGCTCGTGGTGGCCTCCATCGGATCCCCTCTGCTACCGGCATTGCTGTGGCTTCTTGGGTTCTGCAGACTGGCTGGTTCTTCGTAGGGAATGAGGGACTGAGGGTTAGGGTTTAGGGATTGGGTTTAGGGCTTAGGGCTTAGGGCTTAGGGCTTAGGGTTTAAGGTTTAGGGCTTCGGGTTCAGGGTTTAGTGTTTTGGGTCTGCATCGGGCGCTACTTCTAAGAAACTGGGGGCCGTGGATTTGGGGACTGTCCGCTGGGGGGTTTCGGGACCTTGATGTGGGGATCTTCCGAGCAGATAGGGCTGCCCTTGTTGAGAGGGCTCCGAAAAAAATCATGGGGACAGCTTTTTTTTTTTTTTTGGGGGGGGGGGGGACTTCTGAGAATGTTCACGCTCAAAATCTCCATGCGGTCTAGGGCCTGGAAGCTGAGAGGAGATTCTAATCGGAAAGGAGCCCCCCCACCCTCAGCATGCTGGTTCAGAGCCATGGGAGCCGAAAACCCCTGCGCAGTGCTCGAAACCCTAAACCCTAAACCCTTCGGAGATGGTGCTGCAGAAGCCCTAGACCCCAAATCCTTCTCAAGCCGAAGCTTGTTGAGGTTTCTGAGTCTGGAGCTCCTGAGACTGCACCATATGGGCAGAGTCCAGGGCCCCCCATAATTCGGCTGCAAATAGGGTTTATAGGGTTTAGGGTTTAGGGTTTAGGGTTTAGGGCCCGCCCCGACACTTTCCACCAAGGGCTTGGTCAGATTGGTTCTCAAAGCAGTGGACCGAGGAGGGTTTAGGGTTTAGGGTTTTGGGTCTCCCCTACAGAACCCCGTCTATGCGGAGGTTTACAAAAACACGGGGCCCCCTAAGATAGTCGCCCACGCAGTAGGATTCCCTTATCATAAGGACCCCAATAAGGTGCCCCCTAATTCCGGGCCCCCTCCATATCGTAAACCTGGATCAGATTACGCCGTGTTCGATTCATGCATGGCCATTGTCCTTCTTGGGTAGTGTTCCAGAATCGCAAATGCTTAGCTTCGGTGGTTCTGCTGGGGCAAGCCCTAAACCTTAAACCCTCAACCCCTAATCCCTAAAGCCTGCTGCTGCAGAGAGTGCTTGCAGAAAAAACCCTGAACCCAAAACCCAACCCTAAGTATCCATCGAGGGGGGGGGGGGGTTGGGGGGGCACTTTGTCGGGCTCGACCCTCGTGTCAGAGGCTGAAGCCGCAAACTGGCACGCCGCAACTTGGCTAGAAATAGTCGCATTTAGTATTTGGGGTTTAGAGGTTGGCTCAGGGTTTAGGGTTTCTTTAGGCCTAGGCTAGGGGTTACGGTTTGAGGTCTCCAAACCGTCATAAGCCCTTAGCCATGGGTGGTATGTGTAGCTGGACAGATGGAGGCCACTGACTGTATCGATGTTTCATGATGGTCAGCATGAGAGTCAGCGGATGCTCGCCACATGCGTTTGTGCTACAAACTTGTCCTGGCAACGCTACGCCAGGATACCGATTCCCCAAACCCTCCGGGTTAAGGGGGTCGTTGCTCTGCTTGGCCGAGGCGCTGCACTGCCGCGCGGCGGGGTAACGACGACTAAGTGGGGGGGAAAAAAGCTTCCCCATCTTTAAACAGCTAAACATCCGAAATCCAGGTTCAGCCGCCCCTAGCCCACAACCCACATGCTTCAAGGCACTACCAGTTCCACACGCTGTGGATCTCCTCGATTATCGACTTACACTTTCAGACTTTGCTGGAGCACGCCGGCTGAAGAACAATTGACAAGCTGTGGTTGTTGGCATGCGCACCCTATATTGGGGTTTACGGAAATAGTGGTACCTTTTTTGGGGTCCTCTACTAAGGATTATACTGTTTGGAGGTACATAACGGGTACCCCTATTTGTGGAAATGCCGATATGACAGTACTTGAGAGATACCTTGGCTAAGGTCACTTCCCAGGCTGCGGCATTGTACTCGTAACGAGGAGTTTGCAAATTGTACGTTACGTTTCGGGTTTAGGGTTTAGGGTTTAGGGTTTAGGGTTTCATGCACTGCGAGAGGCCACCCCAGATCCCGATGACATCCCAGTGTGTTTCTAGTGCGCCATCGGCGTTTCTAGCACTTGTTCTTCACCCGCTTTGCCGGGACTTTGTGCAGTGACATACTTAGAAAACCCGAGAGACGGCCATGCCTATTTTGACACATTGGAATGCTATGAACCTTCAGTGCTCTGCTTGACAGGGGGGTGTGACCATACTGTAGTGACCAGACCATACGTTAGACCCGGCCTTGGGCGCGTGGCACCCTGAAACCAGACTTCGTTCTGTGGCCAGATGACACAGGGCTTTGGGTTTGGGCGACAGGGTTTAGGGTTTAGGGTTTATAGGGTTTAGGGATGTTTAGGGTCTAGGGTTTAATTATAGGGTTTTGGGATGTTTAGGGTTTAGGGTCTAGGGTCGAGGGTCTAGGGTCTAGCGTCTAGGGTTTATATAGGTCCGTATTACTAAGGATGACCGCCGGCCGTGCGACAGCACGAACGGGCTCCACGCTTGATGCGGCGGCTCATAAATCGATTATCGATTTGGGCTTTGGTTTTTGGGGTCCTACTATTGGGGGGTTTATCTTAAACCCCACACAACCTGACTACTATGATTCCTATGAAGGTAAATGAACCATGAGCCCTGTTAGCGTTCATGTAGTCCCCAAGGATGAGGGCAACCCGAATAAATCCCGCTGAAGAGCGCTGAAGCAAGCCGGGCAGGGCCTTCCCGTTGGTCTGTGCAGGCTTGGGGCCTTTCCGGGGTCAAAGGAAACAGGGCATTGGCTTCTGAGCCAGAAAAGTCGTCAGACTGGGGCCAAAGGGTTTAGGGTTGAGGGTTTAGGGTTCGGGTCTCTCATCAGAAAAGGTGGCCGCATCTCGGTCAGACGTTGCCGCGCTCTGCCTTCAGCTGCTGGTGGAGCTTTCTCAGAGACACGCGTCACGGACGCACGAAGCCAGGTTGTAGCTCTCTGTGATGCTGCACTTTTCTGCGGTCTCTTGAAAGGCACAGGTTCTAATTTTCGCTTCTTCGATGATGGACAATTAACCTGAATGAGTCCCTGCAATGTGGCCTGAGTGTCAGCTGGCCCTAAACCCTAAGCCCTAAACCCTAGTAAACCCTAGTAAACCCTAGTAAACCCTAGTAAACCCGAAACCCTAGCCCTAAGCCCTAAACCCTAACACCCAAGCCCTGAGCATCCGAGGCTGCCATGGCCAGAATCTTTGACAGCAACACCTACCTCCTGAGCCGCGCGGCCCTGTTTTGTGCAGGGGGATGCTCTTGCCGAAGCCCTATAACCCATGAGGAATTGGGATTCATGGGTTTTGGGCCCAAAGTCCAACCAGGTTAGGGCTTATAAGGTTTAATTGAGAAAGCTTGGAAGATATGCAGCTCGACAGCGCCACTTGGGGGGGGACACTTGCGTTGCATGTTCGGCGACTGTAGCTGATCCCCATTCCCAGCCGTCACTCGGTGACGAAGTCCATCATAGGAACAGCCCTGAACCCTAAACCCCCTGACCCTAAACCCTAAACCCTACACCCTCGAATGCAGAGAGTGCGGTCCATTGCCCCAGGGTACCTGGGCAGCATTCCCGCAGAGAGCTCTGGAGCAGGGAAGGCTGGGACCAAGTGCGAGCATCTTCCCCAAAACCCTAAACCCACCCCCCCCCCCCCCCCCCCCCCAAAAAAAAAAAAAATAATAATAAAACAAATCTACAACCTTCTTCTAGGGGATCCTAACAACGGCCTAAGGGTAGTGAGAACCCTGCCTATGTTGGAGAAACTTCTCACGTCTCAGGGCCTCAGCCTTGACGCCCGGAGTATGGTCGGATGTGTTTAATTTTGAGGGTTTTCTGAGTTGAGGCACCGGATACTCGAAACCCTAAACCCTGAACCCTATAAGCCCTGTTTGGAGTGCTTAGGGTTTACAGCTTGTGGCCCCAACATCCCAAACGCTGCCGCCTTGCAGTCCGAAACCGGGAAAGAAAAGCCGCTCCTACCTCATGTAGGCAATCGCTTCCCGCGCCGACCCCAGAAGCAGAAGCGATGCATCTCAATGGCTCCGCGGCTAGTCCATCATGTATATTACACGCATATGCATCTAACCAGTCGGCATATAGTAGTTGCTGTAGATGTAATTGCTGACCAGTGCATTGGCATAGGCATCTGCACATCTGGATGTGCAGACAGTTGTTTGCCCGTCCATTCTTCACCCACCCACCCATTCGCACATCCATCCATAGATCCATCTGTTCATCCATCTCCAGCCCATTACTGCAATTCAATTGTTCTCCACCCACCCAAATCAACAATGTAGGAACTGGGGCAGGCGATCGAGGAGGGTGAGAGTCCTCCGAAGGGCACGCGCCGCAGCAAGCCCAGTGAGGACCGAGCAGCCGTGAGCCACCAACGTCAGAGTTCCGAAGCTCTCTGGCAGGAGATCGAGGCAGGTGAAGGTACTCCGACGGGCACGCGCCGCAGAAAGTCGCCCAAGGAGGGCGCAGCGTGAGCCGCAAGCATGCCGAAACCGTTGCCTAATCCCTTCAGATCCGAAATGGCCCAGCACCCGACCTGGCTGAAGCTCTGAGACTGCGATGGTCACACATCCTTGTCACCTAAGCGGCCATATGTCAGGCATGTGATGATTCAGGCAGATCACTCCCTTGCATGGGGGTATGTTACGCACCGACACCCTGAAGGAGCCTGCCGTGACAGAGGCAGGTGGCGGCGGAGAGGCTTGAAGTGATTGAACAACCTCAAAGGCTCTCCTCCTCCTTATAAGAAAAAGCCATAAAGTAGAGACAAATCCGGGCGCTGACTCTCTAACTAGCCAGGGCAGGGCATCGAAACATCAGGCGGTTCTCCGTCTTAGTTGCAGGATTCTTACATATACTGTTTACATGCGAGCCTTGGCTGTCGAACCCTGGAAGACCTGCCCGGCTTGCGGCAACGTCTACATGGACGACTCGCTGTTCTGCCGGAAGTGCGGCCACAAGCGCAGCGAGGTGCCGACTGCCCTGAAGCTTGGAACCCAAACTTCTGTGCTGAGCCTTGAGCCCCGA